TACATTTTTATTCATTTTTGTTTTATTCTGACTATATTTCTGTCTGTTGTTTCTCTGCAGGAGGTGAAGTCAGTGATGCTCCACTTGTTTCTGGTGCTTGAAGGTAACTAAGTACTTTTACTTAAGTACTGCACTAGAAAACTGTTTTGAGGAGCAGGTTAGCTTAGCTTAGCATAAAGGCTGGCTCTTTCCAAAGGTGAAAATAAAACCTTACTTGTGCAGAAGTATTCAGATATACAAGTAAAAGTGCTGCATTCAAAATCCTACTGAAGTAAAAGTACGTAAGTATTATTTGCTAAATGTACTTAAAGTATCAAAAGTTAAAGTAGCTGACTTATTCCCAAATGTTATTATATATTTTATCACAATGTATAACCAGGTAAGTTAATTCAACTCAAAAAAATGTAACGGATTGCAAAGAAATTTTTTATTAACATCAACTAAATTTCACAAAGCATTCAAGTAGCTTTCGTAATTTTAAGTAACAATGACTATATTTTTGTCATTTTTGTTTGTACAACAAAATACAAAACGAAATACAAAGTAAAAAGTACTTGAACAGGAATGTTTCTGTAATTTACAAAACTAAGTTAGTGTCACTTAAAATTACTAGCTGCCTAAAAGCTGCATAATCAAGAATCTTATTTAACTTGAAAAACTGAGTTTGTGTTACTTAAAATGTTAGATATAATCTGTTTCAACAAATGTTTTGAGTAAAATAAGGATAAATAAATAAATTAGGATGTTAATGCATTATTGTTTAAGCAGCTATAGTGTTGTAGCTGGTGGAGCTAATAACTCTTGGGATTATGTAAGGAGCAGAAAAGAAGGAAAAACAAAGTTCTGCCACACAAATCTGTATTGTGTTTTTGGAGTTTTAAATTTTTTAATGTCATTTAAATGAAGCCATCTTTGGAGGAACAGCTATCAATTTATGGTCAACAGTTAATCTATAACAATGCGTTGTAATTTATTTTATTTGACAGCTTTAGTCACTTTGTATATTCTGATTTCACTTAAAGAACGTGATCCAAGTTGAATTCAGCTCCATCTCAACCACTGCCATCAAAACGCTGCTTACATGTTAATAAATACACCTTATAATAATCATATAATACTCAGGAGTCTCTACTTACTTTTCATACTTACGGCAACTATGCTAAACGCACCTTATGTAAATTCAGAGAGAGAAATAACGTTCTTCTTCTTCGAAAGTTGAATTCCTCAATAATAAAACAGCATTGCTCAAATCAAAACACCTGTTTTAGTGCTACAGCTTTACCTGGTCTGCTATGACCACTAATAGTGGCTAATGTTAGAAAACCTTAGATAAATAGTTTTCATATAATTTATATTATGCAAATGTACTGTGTGTTTTGCAATTATTTTAGACTCTTATCCATCTGTGCTACTTTAGCTTTTTAGCTCTGGCATTTAACATCATCTCATAATTGCCATTGTAGCCGCAGTTTATTAAAGGCTAACCACAGCAATCTCGCTTTCAGTAAGTTTGCTGACAATAATAAAGTGTTTTTACTTAAAATAACATTTTAATGCAGCATTTTTGCTTGTAACAAAGTATTTTTACATTGTGTGTTCGCCATTTTTACAAAAGTAAAGGCTGGATATTTCTCTCATCGCTAATTGTCTTCACAAAATACTCAGATTGACTGAAAAAGCTGCGCTGTAATAACGTAAAATTCAATCAAATCTGTCAGCGAGAAAATAACATGGAATTCCTTTTAATGCCTCCGAAAGTTTATCTTAACATCATATATAAGAAGATAACATGATCTCGATCAACAATCAGATCACCTTAAACTCACAGAAGAAACTTCATGAAATAACAGTCAAGACAAAATATTCTCAACAGTTTTCCATTTATTCCATATTTGTCTGTTGGCATTTGTTGCAACTTTATTAGTATTTTACTTTAGTTTCATTCATTAGTGGTTTAATACAACAGCGTGTACAGTGCTTCTGTCTCAGCAAAGATTTCTGCATACAAAATAAAAAACAAAAAGTAGCAACAACATCTGCAGCGTGAGGACTCTGAACCGGTTAGAGTGGAGGGTTGCCAGTTTGAATGCCTCGTGGCTGCCGCAGTGCTCTCGAGCAAGGAGTTTAACAAATGGAAGAGTTCAGTGGGAAAGAATGTCCAAAATCCTGCAACTAAAGCTAAACTTTAGTACAAGGAGCAATCAGAGAACTTATTTCTACAAACTGAAATAGATCAAATAACAAAAAAGGTTAATATTTTCAATTTGATTTATTTGGGACTTATCACCCATTTCTAAATTATGAGATTGTTTCCTTGAAATTAAGAGATAACTCCTAATTCTGACCTTAATTTTATTGAAAAAAAAAGACATTTAAGGATGTAAATTATGACAGAGCTGCTGATCAGTCATCAATTTGACAAAAATGACCGTTTCTACAAGCTTGGATAAAAGCAAATAACGGCACATAGCATTAGAATATGTGTCACAGAAAAGAAAGTAACAAATAGACCTCCAGACTGTGAGATGTGGTTGAAAGCTCTGGAAAAAAGCTAGCAGGTGGATGTTGAGTTAAGACTTTTTTTTGTCAGTTCCTTATTTTACTGTACAGAGTTTAAACACCACAGTGTTGCTGCTTTATTGGCAGGAAAAGAAAAAATAATACAGCAAAGGCACATTCAACAACGACGGCCCCATTCCCTTACTAACACCTAAAAATGATACACCGCTAAGGATGGATGAAAAAAAACACACATACAACACACACATCTGCATAAATGTACACACTTGATTTCACAGTGCCGGCATGCACACAGACCGAAACACACACGATGTCGCTCAGTCAATCAAAACGTGGCGACTGATCGAACGTCCACCTTTTGTGGAACAGAGAGGAAGCGGAAGACTTCAAATTCCCTTCTGACACACTGAAGGTTTGAATCCCTTTTATAAAGCGCCATAATCAACACACACAAACACACACACACACAGAAAATGCTGCAGTTTCTAACGCTATTATTGCACCCAAGTTTGAAAAAAAAGAAAAGAAACACCAAGAGCAAAGAGACCCATATTAGTTTAAAAAATAATAATCTAGTGTAATGATGTGCTGTGCTTCAACTAAACAAACCTTTGTGTGTGTACAAGTCTCCATACTACACACACACAGCTTGGCATGTGTTTATGGAAGACATAAAAGTGTGTGTGCTCGGCATTAGTACAACGGTTTCTATACAAATTAGTTCCTTTCTAGTCAACCAGGCAAAACAAAACACTACATACTTTATAGCGGTTGCCAGATTAGAGCATTATCCCCCTCTTTAAGACCCAGTTATTTATACATGAAGAGTAGAAAATGCTCAACACGCCCCCCTCCTCCCCCCCAAATTCAAATATGATCCAGTTTGAAAGATGAGAAATGGGTTGCCATGTTTGGACAACATCCCCCTTTAAGAGCCCAAACACTCACTGTGCTTTCTTTACGAAGAGGGAATAACATCGCCAGATCTGAGCAGCGTCGCGTGTTCAAGTGTTCCCAGGTTGTGTATTAAGATGGGAAAAGGGTTGCCATGTCGTGTTAATATCCCCCTTTATTAGACAATAAGGGACATACTGCAGTAACATTCTGTTGATTCGCCACCGATATCCGTTGTTTTCCAGACCTGATCTTCAGTTCAGTGCTTTTCTGGCTGCAATGTTAAAACGTCACAACCTAAAATGATATTCTGCTACGGAAGTCGACCCTCTCTGATGTACATTCAATACGTTCGGTCATTGTGCCTCAGTGAGGGGGGAGCAATGTGGAAGACATTAAAGGTTGTCTCCTAGGGAAAGGGGGATGAGGACAGACTGCTTAACCATCCAGTTACATTTTAGGAAATGGGAAGCTTGTGGTACGAAGAATAAATTCTATGAAAATGCGAGGTCTTACGAAAACCCCCCACAGGAGTCTACCATTAGTCACAGCCAAAAGGATCACGTTCCCAAACTGCAGACATACAATTATGTTAAACAATTCCCAATAGCATCGAGTGACTGAAGCAAAAACTGTTTCATCACAAATAGAAGCTGGAAGATTTTTTTTCACGCTTGAAGGATGAACAAGAAGACGACTCATGGGGTTGGGAACACTTTAGTTGACTACACTGCATTTGTATATTAATTATAATGTGGTTTTAAGTACTTTTCCTCACTGTTCTAGCTGGCTTTGCTCCTTGATAATCACATATTTTCACTGACATGCGCCACCTTAATGTTAATGTGTAATTTTATAATCTTTTATGCTATTTCTTTTAGCTTTCCTGTTCTCCACAGGTCAGAAATCCCTCACATTAAAGTTGCCTTTACGAATAAGATCAAGGATGCGATTGGTTATATGCTATATTTGTGTCAAGAAATTACCAAACAAAAAGACCAAAACTAACGATGCGTTGGTTTCTACTAAAGAATAGAAAAATAGGTCACAAATTTTCGATTTTTAAATTTCCTAAAACAGCGCGTGGTGCAGTTTTTAAAATGGAGCACTTGTTGGGGACTATTTTCAGGGGCAGATCAATACACATTTGGTTTGTTGACAATAAGAAAAATACATAATATCACCAATTTTTCTTAAATATCAGCTGTTAGGAAGACTTCAGGTTTGTTTGATGGAAATTATTTTGGAGGAACCAATCAAATAAGAGAGTTTCTTTACTTCCTTCTCTCCAGCTAATATGAATACTCAGTTTAGATCCGTAGGATTGAATTTGAATCGGACAGCCTTGGTTTGGTTTATGAAGAGATTAAAGTTCGGCATTCGCATGTAGTGAGTTTCTCACTGAGAGTGAGTTCATCTCAGTCTTCAGTCAGGAAGTAACCAATGGGATCGCTTCGTTGAGGCCTAATAATCAGTAGAGTTTCAGTCACATAGCAGACGAATGAAGCTTGTTATCCAATGAGCTTGTTGCAGGTTTAGACTGGTTGCTTTAGGTGTTAGATATGACCAATAGGAACTGGCTGCGGTAGTTGGAAGTCCAGTGGAGTTAAGGTGCATAGATCAGCCAAAAAGGTGTATGGTTGAACAGATCAATGACGTCAGGCTGGATGGTTTCAAATCAGCCAATTGGATGGTGGCTCCAGGCCAGCTGATCTAATCAGGAGGCCCACTCTAGGTGTGGTGCTGTGCGATGAGGTTGCGTAGCTGTTTGATGACGGTGTCGATGAGTTTCTGTCTGTCTCTGTCCGTCTTCCTGAACTGGGCGAAGACGTTGTTCTTCCTGCTCGTCTCCCTCATCCTGGAGAATAGAAAGGGATAAATGGAGGATGAGAGGAAATAATGGGGTTATAAAGGAAGAGAAAGAAAAAGAAGAAAGCAGAAATTAAATGAGGTTAATGGTCTGTTTTCATATCTCACATTTTATTTGACATTCTCAGTGTTTGAATGCTGTAAGTATACCAAAATGCACTCAGTAGTTCATCTGATGCATTCAGGAAAACACACAAGTGCACAATTGTATGAGCATGCTCAGTACAGACACACGGTCACCTGTTAAAGAAGAAAAAGACGTTTCGGCTTTAAAGTTCGGTGTGTTTGTGTGTGCTCAGTGTCACATGAGACAGTGCGTCTCCGTGTGTGTTTTGTCGCAGAACACTGGGCTGTTATGGACCTCCAAGAGGTTCAGGGGCCCAGCAGAGCAAACAAGCCCCAGCAGGGTGCTTCCTCCTGGGCACAGACGGACCACCGGGCCTGGGCCTTGTGGAGCTCGGGAGAGAAAATGCTGACCCTGATTAAGGAAGGTCAACCGCACTGTACTGAACAATGGATCACAGGACTCTGTGTGTGTCTGAGGATGTATCTGTGTGAGAACTTAAGCAGGGCGTAATCCCGAAACTCAACTGTTTGTGTGAATGCAGGTTGTGTATGTGTGTGGTTTTCCACGTTATCTCAACAAACTGATGGTAAATAGAGTCACGATGTGGGTGCTGTTCATCGCTAAAGGCCACAGAGATAAACATCAGTATTATTACGACATGAGTCTTTTGTTTTTTTATTTGTGAGAGGTTGTGCGTGCATTTAACCATGTATATCCCTGAAGTGATACTACACACACCCTCGCTTTACATATACACTTGTACATACATGCTTCATTAGTCATCTAATAGTATACATGCCAGAATCCAACATTACTCCCACACAACAGAGACAATACTCACGGCTTAAATAACCTGTCAAAACATGGCAGAGAAGACAGAGAGGGGACAGAAAAGAGCGGTTGAGATGGAGGTAAAGATGGGTGGAGTTCTCGAAGATTAACTGGTGCTTCGATAGCGCGCCGCAAATGACGACGATTTTCACTATCAATGGAAATTCTTTCCAGACGAGAACATCGATTTTAATTTAATGTCTGAGTGTCAAGTATGAAGCTGTCGTCAGGAGGTTGTTAGATTAGTTTAGCATGAAAACTGTAAACAGGGGAACACAGTTAACTTTTCAAAGCTAAAGAGCTTCCTCTTAAACTAACTAATTAGCACGTTGTATCTCCATTGTTTAATCTGTACCTAAACGGAAATGTAAAAAGTATAAAGTTTTTTTTGGTTTATACATACTGCTTAAACAAACCAGAGACATTGTTTCAATTTGTGAGATTTATGGAACTTCTAGATGGTGAGAGTCAAAATTATGGCATGTTTGTGATCTTTGGATAGAACCATCTAGTTAGTTTCCTCCAGTTTATAGTCTTTATGCTAGACTAAGCTAAGCACATCCTGGCTCAACCTGCCTTACCTTAATTTGATCGATTTCTTACCTTGATATTGCTTGTTTCCTGTGCAAACTCAAACATATTCAGTTTTAATGATATAAAATTTAAGAAACTGGAGCCAAAGAAGGTGGCGGTTTTGTTTAACTATACTTGTTTATCGATTATCAAATTTGCTCAAGATTACGGGTTTTGTCAATGGATTCAAAGAAGGAAATGAGGAATCCAGGAACAGATGCACCAGAATGAGGAAAGAGTGGAAATCAGTAGATGAGTAAATGACTGCTCACTTCTCTAGCAGGGCCAGTGCAGTGTGTGGGTTGACTCTCAGGTATTTGCAGGTGGGTTTGCCGTAGTCAGCCAGGTAGGTCGACCAATCCCACTGTGTGAACAGGTCCAGTAACTAGATAAAGACAGAGAGGCAGAGATGAACAAAAAGCTATTGACTCACAAAAATACCCTCAGTTTTTTTACTGTTAAGCTTTGATTAAATAAACACCATTGTCATCCAGCGGATCAGATGGCCCACGCTAACACATCACCATGTTGAGTAAGATTTGGTGGCCAGTTTTAAAGCAGGGAAATATGAACTTGTAGCAGCTTCAAAGCTTTAAAAGAAATGGTAGGAAATCTTAAATACTGTGACGAAGGAAGATTAGTAAAATTTATTAAATCCAAGATAAAATCATGTTTCCAGAGCTGAAGGTTTGTCTTAAGATTCCTATTTAACTGATCAGCAGCCAAAAATACTGTTTTTATTATGATATAAAACCTTAAAAAACCCCCCACACAATTTCATATTGTGAAGCTGAAACCAACAAAATGTCCTTCTGGTTAAAAATAAACTTGTTCTCTAACTTGTTTTATAATTTAGGTTGTGTTTTCTTTTGCATATTTCTGAATGAAAATTGGTGTTATGGGTGCCCACAAGTCTCCACTTTGCAGACAGCCCACTTTATGCTAATCCCATGCAGTTTTTTTTGCATGTGGTATAAAAGTGTTATTTTTACCTAGTGTATCTAAATATTTCTGCGTACTGGGGTCCCTAAACAGTACTGAAATTGGATTAATTGGCCACCCCTGCATAAGTCAGTGCCTCACTTGTGCCATCCCAGTCAAAAAAGTCTGGACACGCCCCTGCTTTCATATTAATCAATTGTTACTAAATAAACATCTGACCTGTTTGTATTCATTCATTTATTGTAAAATAAACAATGGAATATGGAACAAATTTCATCAAACTGCTCCTCAAATGCTGGAAAAAGCTTAAATTACATTTTACAAACATAAACAACATACCTAAATTGACTTTATGCTAATAACGTCAGACTAAATGGCCAACACCTTTTTTAAACAAATGCTACGAACTCTGAAACACACATTTAAACATTTACAAGGAATTGTAATTTCAACAAATGGTTTTCCTACCAGAAACTATTATTCTGGCAACAGTTTGTGAAACTACAATGACTCCTATTTAATTGCTTCTGTGGCACTACGATGCTTTTCCCTGTAAACGCTTTACTCATTACTTAAGTCTCTTCTAGCTAAGGCATTCCCTAAGTTTTATGTTGCAACCTAATTTAGCAAGACTTCGTAATGGGTTTACAAATAGCCGGTACAACCTAAACAGAACAATTAACAGATGATTCACTAACTAATCTGAACTGCTGAATTTTTATACTGGACACATTCATATTTAGGCAAATAAACAAAATATGCAACAGAA